ACGCTCTCCACTTCCCTGCTCCACACTCTCCGTTCCCATGCTGCTCGTTGCAAACTTCGCACGACGTTTCCACGTTGGAGCACCAGGGTCCTTCCTTTTCGTAACACTCCGTGCGGACCAAGCCCGGAATTTATCAAAGCACTGAATTTCAACTCATTTGCCCCAACACGCCTTCCGAATGACTAATTAGATCGAGTCCATCGTTCTTCCCAGGTTTTGACTCCTAGATGTTCAAGGCAATTCATGGTTCCAGACTAAGGTCGGGAAGAAAAACCATTTAGGGCCGTGTTTCAGATTCAAATACGATCCGTCAGCCGAAACAACGAAGTGATCAACTACCCGAATTTACTTAAATTCGACTAAGATTATGAAACGTCCCCACTCCCTTCTTGAACTGACCCCGGCCTTGGTTCCCGAACTAGTCAGTTACACTTCTAAGTAGCGCCCCACTTCCTCTTCATTTTCTCCCTCGCTTCCTTCAGGTTCTTCTTCTCCTGCAGAGAAGTCCATCTCGTCGATATCCACCGGCCCAGGCTTGAGAGTTCCCCGCTTCGAATCGTCTCCTACTCCTAATCTGAGGAACCATCGTCCATTTCCTTCCTTGTCGAATTCCTCCCCCTTTCCCGCCCTCCTTGCCGCCATAGCCGAAATCCACACCTCCGGTCCGCAACAATAACAGGTTACCAGAYCAGCGCTCCTCCCCTGCTCATGAAGTGCTCCTTTGATTACCGTCTCTTTGAGGCTCTCCGCACCCTCGCCACCCATCCCCACCTCCCGAAGGTGCCTAATCGATCCCTCCGCCTCTTCCGACGGAGAGATGATTAGCAGTATTCCCAAAGCCATGAAGCCTCGGCGTCTTTCGCCAAGGCTCTTCCTCCTCGTCTCCCTATCCTTCTCCAGAAGTTCCTGCAACTCCGTCGAATCGAGATTTCCTATCATTTTCCCATTTAGTTTCGAGCGGGTAGAGAAGCAAAGGATGTGGCCTAATAACCAATTATCCCTCGCCCTCCGCCAGTGACTCTTCCCCACTATCCAGATAGGTTTCTCCTCTTCCAAGTAGCAGAAGCTTCGAGTTCCTAAATAATTCGCAAGTAACGCATCGCGCCTGGTTCTACCTACCCATCCCATCAACGCCTTCCTCCTTCTAACGTCCGAAGGATTCCATCCTTGGAATATACCGGCATCCTCTGGCCTAGACAGCGTTCCTTTCTCCGCGTCCAACACAAGGAAGCCGTCCAGGAGGCTACTGAAGGAGATCGGTCTAACTAAACCCTGATCGCTCGGCTCCGTCGCTTCCACCATCCTCATCCACTTCTCTTGGGCGTAACTCCGAAAGAGAGCGAAAGGAGGCGGAGGGACCGAAGTCGGCTTGCCCCCATGATCCAACACTCTTCATTCCTTCGCTAGATAATCCCCCATTTAAACCCTTCACTTGCTTCGAGAGCGCCCGTAGGCCTATAGAGCTTTCTCTTCTCCTTCCTAAACAAACCTAACTCGCCCACGCCGGTTCCTCGATTCCAACTTCCCTAGCCTTCCCACTCTGAAGCGTGCACTAATCTTGAGGTTCGTTAGTAGTTCAGGTGGTGCAGGTGCCTTCTCCTTCCTCCTACGCAGGGTTCCAGTTCGAGGTTGCTCCTCAGAAGCTAGGTATTCATACAATAGCTACTCGCAGTCCCGTGCGTCGTTCGGCGGAGCCCCAGGTGAGTGCCTTCCCTACCTCTTCGTCCCCGAGTGGTTGGGATGAAAGAAGGAACTTACCTCGGTTCAGCCTTCAAAATTACAGTCCTTAGCTTTGCCAAGAATAGGAAAAGATCTCCAAGTAGTCTAACCTCTTGAAAATGCTTCTTCAGGTACCAGAGCGATATTGCGGCGCAG